TTTCTGCTCTGATATTTTCAGTTAAACAGTCTTCAGTATCTACACGGTGAAGAAACTTCTGATTGTAGAAGGTTATTTAATTTAGTAGAAAAAGTATAACCCACATTTGGAGGTCGGAAGTTGAAGCAAGACCAATTCAGACTAGAAACAAAGTGAAATTTTTTAGGGAGGCTAAGGCTATGTCTAGAAGACACTGAAGTTTCAAAAGAGGATATGCAAAAAATGAGGTTTATGTGGCAGACCTTTCGAAAGTGAAAGTTGTCGGGATGCAGTTTTTCTGGCAACCCCTCCCTTTTTCGAAAAGCCGCATAAACCTCATTTTTTTGTGGTCTAGATTACTTTCACTTTCAAAAGCTTTGCTTTTGAAAGTGAGATTGGAAGAAGATCTGCAAATTCCCTGTGCAATTTGCATATCCTCTAACTTCTCTGGAGATGTGGTGGATTCTCCATCATTTGAAATATTTAAATCAGGACTTGCTATCTTTCTAATAGATACACCCTAACCCAAATAGAAGCTGTGGGTTAGATGCAGAACTTACTGGATGAGAGCCTCTAGCAGTGGTCCCTCAAATGCTTTCCACCCATGTGCAGAATAAATGTTGTTATGTGCACCAAGGCATGTGCAATGTGCACCACTAATATAAACACATGATGCTGGCTCTGGGCACTCTGCTAATCATCTGGGCAGCATTTTAATCTCTCCTGGATGGCTGGTTGGGTGGTCTCAGCCTGGTTATGCAGGAGGTCATCTTAAATAATCAGAATTGTCTCTTCTTGCCTTAAAGTTATGCAGTGTAAATTCCTCAATGTTTAAATATGGTTTTCCAAACATATATATTTTAAACCATAAATATCCTGATTCTGGACCATGTTCTGGAGAATTTATTTCAGCAAACTCCCTTTTATATCAATGGGAGTTATGCATTAGCCATAAACACAGAATAGGGATGTATGCAATTATTAAATCCATACAAAATTCCATTTGCTTCAGGTCTGTATGGTTCAAACTGTTCAGCATGGGAAATCCAGTAGTTGGTATTCCAACTGGGTGGGTGTGAAGGGTGATATATTGCTATTGCTGATCTCTCATGACTTTCTGAGCAAGAATTATTAGAGGAAGAAGTGAACCTATTTCACAAAGAATTTTTTTTATCTTACAATAGAAATTATCTATAATAACCACTATTATTTGAGAAACATGTGGTCCGACTCTGCTGGCAGCATTTATTGCTCTTATCTAAAATAATCCATTTCACAATACCTAATAGAATATGAATAGAAATGTAGCCGTGTTAGTCTGGTGTAGCTGAAGCAAAATACAGGACTATGTAGCACTTTAAAGACTAACAAGATGGTTTATTAGATGATGAGCTTTCGTGGGCCAGACCCACTTCCTCAGATCAAAAAGTGGGTCTGGCCCACGAAAGCTCATCATCTAATAAACCATCTTGTTAGTCTTTAAAGTATGTAGCACTTTAAAGACTAACAAGATGGTTTATTAGATGATGAGCTTTCGTGGGCCAGACCCACTTTTTGATCTGAGGAAGTGGGTCTGGCCCACGAAAGCTCATCATCTAATAAACCATCTTGTTAGTCTTTAAAGGGC